TTTAGTAAGATTAGTCAGAATACAAAATAAAAATTAATAAAAAGATGATTTTACCGGAGAACCCAAATTTACTAAAATAGGGAAAATAGGGACTGTTGGGTGATGTCAAGCAAAGGGTTTCACTATATTGTTGCTATAGTACATCTACCTGTACATGAGAGAGCTCTCTTTTGTAGTCAACTAGTCATTAATGATGTTTTCCTGGCATTGTCCTATGGCGAAGAATGGAAGCAATGTTCACGAGAAAGAAGAATTGGTTTGTTACTTGTTAGGTTAAAAGTGGGGTTCTTGATTTTTGTCATGTTACCTTTTACTTTTGTATGCTACATTTTATAATCGAGGAGAAAAATTGCTTTCCCTTGACTCAAATTGGCAATCTATGCTAATTTAATTTCTTGGATGGCTTCTGCTCTCGTTTTCCATTCAATATTCATATATGATTGATTTGCTTGGATTGTTGGATCAGAGATCCCCTCAGGTCTTCCAAATTTTGTTGTGTATGTGGTTGATTGAGGATGGTTGACCAACAAGATTTTTCCCAATTATGCCACAAACACCTGCCATAGGCCACCATTTGCTACAAATTTTCATGGCTGGCGCCATGGTGGTGGGCTCACAATCGGCAAGGCCATGGATGCTATTTAACAACACCGATAACACTAGGGATTATGTGTGGTCAGATTGGATCATATTGTTTTTATTGGTACAAATGGTAACTGATTTATCTTATTGCAGGGTAACACTGACAACACCGGTAAAGAGGATTTGAACCTCTTTGGAAATAAGGTGAACCTTGTTGATGATAATACTGGTGAAGCAACTGTTCAAAAGAATTCTAATAACAATGGAAAGGAGAAGAAAAAAAGTGGTGGTGCAACTGAGGTATTGCAGGCTAACAATTTTTTCTCCACCTGTTTCATTGTATTTTTGTGCGTTTTCATTTGCATTGATAGTTTATAGAATTGATTTTAAGTTGAAATGTTTTGATAGAGCATTTTGTCGGAAGGTGACACTAGCAAACATGTTGAAGTTCTCAGGAGTGCTCAAGATGTGGAAACTCCTAATGCAAAGGACTTTCTGAAAGGCCTGGTGAGAAGCAGAGAGCGTTTTGTTTCTAAAATTGTGCTATTTTATCAATTTCCTCATGCCCACTGCTTATTAATTTAACTTTGTCAGACGTCTTAGGCAGTTGGAACTATATTACTCCCGTCCCAAAACAAGATTAATATTCCAAATACCGTTTTTTGTCCGATGAACGAGAATTCAGTTTCAAAAGAAGCTAATACACTGTCACAAGACTTCCAAAGAAAGTAACAAGTTACATATGATACATTTAGTTTAATTGACAAATAAGTTTGAAAAGTAGTACTTTCTCCATCTCCATTTTATGTCCACATTTGATTTTGTATGTTTTTTAAGAGAGTAGAAACTATGTGACTAAGATATATTGAAGAGAAACAATACCATATTACTAAGTGAATCCTTTTCTTAAAAGGAACAAGTAGATAATTTTGGAATGGATATAAATGAAACAATAAAGATATGAGAGAGATGCTTAGCAGTTTGATTCATGACACTTGCACTTGATAAGGACTAAAGATGCACAAGGAAATAAAAAGAAATGTATATAAAATTAATAAACAAATAAAGAAGACAGAAGAAGAGTTTCAAGGAAGAACTCTCCAGCAAGATGTTCTTGCCCCCCTCGGACAAGCTGCTCTTTTACTACAAACAAATGCCCACCTCTTCTCAAATGAGGACCCTTATTTATATTTGATAATCAGATGTTCCTGATATAAGTATATAACTTTAATCAGATCTAATAGAATCTCTTACTAAGCAAATCTGATTTATTTCAATCTTGATTGATTCTTTGATTTGTCTTGTTCAACTTCTTGATTGCTTTCCTTTTACATAGGTAGAGTTATATGTCTATCAGTATCTTACGAAGAAAGACTCGTTCTTGACATTATTTATCTTTGGGCACATAACGGATTAAATCAAATTGACACATTAAGCATTGCTTCTTACTTACTGTGAAGTTCTGGGTACTGGGTAGTGAATCCAGCAATGCATCTAGGATCTAACTGAAACACTCTATTTTTGTTGGGGTAAGACTGCGTACATCTTGANAGTGTTGGGATTATACTCTGTTGCTGTTATTGTTGTTGTTGTTTTATCTTACCAAAATACCTTATTTTTGGATGGAAGCAATACATTTCAATACTCCGTAGGTGCTGCTCATGTTTTCCAAATATCTAAAATTCTGAATGCGGTTTATTAGGCAAAACCTAACCTTGTTGCACATTGATAAACTTTTTCTTAAAGACAAAGGTAGTACTTTTCATTGGTCTGTTTCCTACTTGACTATATGTATCCTTGTTATGTATCCGGGTAACTATATTTAACAGATTTAACTTGTTTGACATATTTCTTTATTAAAAAACATTTTATATGATGAAAATCAACAGCTTTTCCTTAAATTTGACTCTTTATATGGGACAAAAATATGTGGAGAAATAGGACTCTTTTTATGGGACATAGAGTGTAGTATATTTTAATGGATTCTGGTTGCCCATGGTTAATTCTTTAACAAATCTACATTGACGAAAACATCAGTGGTCATCCATCTTAAAATTCCAGGAGTTGTGTGTAATATTAGGTGATGTATATGTCCTACTTTCCTAGACCTTATTCCACAATCGATTCTATTCAGTGCAGTGCACTGTAAGTATTCACCTAAACACAGGAAAGTATCCAATTGAAGTAACTTAGCTCGTAAAGACATCAAGAATATAAGATGAGTGACTTGCAATATTGCGTGAATGCCAAAGATGCTAAGAGACTTGTAATATTTCTGAGCCGATACAAACCAGCCGAACCTTTATAGGGCTTTTGGGTCATATCTAAAATGCTAGGCCTTGGGCTGACTCCATTTTCCCATCAAGTAGCTACTTCAATTTAGCATTAAAAGTTTAATAAACATTTATTTCGTGACGTGGTTCTTAGCATTTTCAAATTAACGTGAATGATATTTGCTTGTACGGCATTGTGATGGCCATGCACTGCTGTTTTTATGGGAGGTAGTTCTTTTGTAATTTCTACAGCAATATGGATGCAATGGTCTTCATCCTGGTATTGACTGTTTACGATTGTGAGTTTGTTGTTGAACTTCAATCATCAATCATGAGTAATTTACTCCTTCCGTCCCAAAAAGAACTCCACACTTCTCTACTTTCTCTCTTAGGAGGTAGCTCTTATCCTTTCTCCATCCCCAAAATTAATTTCAACCATGCTTTACTTTTCACCAAACACCTTTTATTTCTCAATACTTTTCTCAAACTCTGTGAAGTCAATTGTCAAGTGCTTTAGGGATGGATGGAGTATCAGAGTATTAGATGCCTTGCTTTAGATTCGTTGTTTACAGAGAACAAAAACTGCAGTTTTCTGATGAGCTTTTTTTTTCAAGAACTGTGAGAGGCCATATGACTCCTTTCAGATCAGATCCACAAAAGTCCATATAAAGTTAGCTGCCGAGTGACATAGAAATAGTTCCTCGAACTATATTGCTGTCGTTCTCATTGTGTTAATCATTCATATTTTGCAGGACCCCGCTGTTGCACGTGTTGAGGACTATCAGGTGGATAATGCTCCTGCTGACCTCAAGCAAGAAAAAATTAATAGCTGATCAAGTGTTAGTTTTCTTTGCCAGACAACTGCTAGTTTTATCTCTTACCAAGAATTTGCGTGTCTGGGAGTGGGACACATTCGTAGTTTTATTATCAAGGCATGGCCAGTAGGCCGTTAGTAGTCGTGTGTAGTAGAATGCGGGTTTAACAAGCCTCCCCGGCGTGCTAGAAATGGTAATGTGAATGACTTAGAACTGGCCTTTCCATATGTTTTGTTTAATGACCATGTGATCTAGTTCATGCATGTTTCTGTTCTTTCTTGCTCGCTCCGTCCTATATACCATCTTTGTTCAAGTTTATTTGTCTAGTTTGATGGTTTGTAGTGGAGTTGGATGAATTTTGATACTCGACTAAATAAAATTCGTATTACATATTATAAAAAATGATTTAATTAGATTTATTTTGTAAAATATTTTTGGAAGATTAATTTATTTTACTAATATACTATGTATAAAGTAAAACTCTCTCCGTCATAGTGTATTCGTTCTGTTTGACTTTTTTTTAAGTCAAACATGACGAAAGTTAATTACTCTGTATAAATTAGTCACAATTTGTATTGCATAATAATACAATAAAATGAAATTTTATATTGATATACATGACTGTTTTTATTTAATTAACGTTTAAAGTTCATCTAGTTTAAATAAAAAAAGTTAAATTAGATAAATACACCGAAACACAATCACATATATGGTTTTTTTTAATTTGATTGTCAAAGTTGGTCAAGAATGTAAAAAGTCAAATTAGACAAAAGTTTGGATGGTCCGAGTACTCCATATTTTTTTTACTCTCCTTTTAGGGTTGTTTTAGACCGAGTATCTAGTCTCTTCAATAGCGACTAAATCATTATTATCTTTGTTTTAGTGTATTTATCTAATTTGATTATTTTTACTTAAAAAGAAATGAACTTAGAGTTTCAATTACAATCAATTTACATTGCATATGACTATATAGGGGTGGACAAGGTACGGTTCCGGTTCCGGTACCGCCACCCCATGGCACCGGCACCGTGACCGGTCCGGCGGTTCTGGTACCGAACTGGCCGGTTTCGCCCCCCCCCCCCCCTAAATTTTTTTTTTGCTTTTTTTAAAATTTTTAAAGTATAAAATTGTAAATTTGCAACTGTTTAAGGAAAGAATGAAATAAAAAATCTAAAAATGTAGTTGTTATTTAAATATTTTAAATGAATAATACACTAACTGAAGAACAACCACATTTAATATCCTGACGGTTCAAAAAAAGCAACGAGGTAAAGAATCGTAAAGAAACCCTCAAAGGAGCTTATATATCGCTCACCTAAAAAAACTAATTACATATTTACATTAACATAAAAAAAATTTATAACTTATTCTTCAGAACTCGGACTTCCATCTGTGGTTGCATTCATGTAATGCTTCGATTCGAGTTGGTACGATGACTCTTGAGCTCGACGTCTTGCTAAGAGCCAATCTTGGTTGCAAACCAGTGTTTCAAGAGATTCAGCGCTAAGACAACTTCGGTAGTCGGTTAGAATGTTTCCGCCAGCACTGAATTCTCGTTCAACTGCTACGATTGATACCAGGACGGATAACACTTGAGACGAAGAGACGGAGTGTCTTCCTCGAGAACCACGTGAGGTCGAACCGTCGGAGGTGGCTTTAGCTTTGCCTTTCCTCAAAGTTTGGTTCACAGCGCCCATATCCACGGACCTTCTACCGGACTCTCTCGACATTTTAATATATATATTTTTTTATATAAAATAATAATATATTAAATTTTGAAAATTTAAAAAAAATTCGAAATTTTATATATTAAAATTTCAAAAATTTAAAAAAATAATAGAGAATATATTTAAAATATAAATTCTATAGTTTTTGATATTAAAGAAAATAAAATATTAAATTTCGAAAATTTCAAATAATTTCGAAATTTTATATATTAAAATATAATATATTTAAAAAAGAATGTATAAAAGAGATAATAAGATATTAAGATTGAGAATTTGAGAATTTGAGATTTGAGAATTGAGAGATTGATAAGAAATTAAGAATGATAGATTGAGATTTGAGAGATTGAGAGATGGATTGAGTATTTGAGTGTGATTTTTTAAGAAAAAAGGGGTATTTATAAGGTATTTTAATCCCTCCCCCCTCCCCTCCCCTCCCCTTCACCCCCTCCCTCAAACGGCTCAAGAGCGGTTGAGGCCGGGCCCCCCCCACAGGCCACTGACTTTCCTTTTTTTTTGCAGGTACTATGCATTGGAGCAATGGAGCAAAAAAGAGAAAAAAAATTTAGTAAACCGGCACCGGTACCGGCGGTGCCGGTAACGAAATTTGGCCACCGGACACGGTACCGGTTGGGGCGGTACCGGTTCCTGGAACCGGTGGCTCGTTCCCGGTGACGGTGACGGTACTCGGTACCGGCGGTACTGTTCCCGGTGACGATACTGTACCGGTATCGTGTCCAGCCCTACGACTATATGAGCATAATAGAATAAAATTATTAGGATCCGTTTGGTACAAGGAATTGATGGAATTGGAATTGAATTGGAATTAAAATTTCATGGAATTCAATTCCATAGAATTGAATTCACCAATTCCAATTCATTTTTTGCACTACCAATTCCAAATCTACATAATTTTTGTGATTCCAAACATGAGAATTGGAATTGAAATTCTCAATTCCAATTCCATAATTTGAATTCCGTGTACCAAACAGGGCCTTAGCCTCTTCTTTCAACTTCAATTTCTCCCACCCCCAAAAACGCAGTGAGATTGGAAGGGGAAGAGAGAAGCTAGATCCTGTCGGCGTTGCAACCGTTCATAGCTCGTCGCCGCCTCGCCGGTCCGCCAGCATCGCCACCGCTCGTCATTACAACGGTAATACATTTACCGTTCAAGTCCAATTTTAATATTATATCTTCAATTTGATATTGTCATCTATTTTATCTTCAATTTGATATTACATTTTGGAACTCCAATTTAATTTTCAATGTATATTATCCTCAGTTTCTTTAACACTATGTTTGGTTCAAGGAATTTTAGAGGGAAAAGAAAAGAAAATGAGAAGGAAAATATTTTTCTTGTTTGGTTAGAGAGGAAAAGAAAAGAAAAGTGGAAGGAAAAGAAAAAGAGAAGGCAATATGCACTAAGAGGAAGGAAAACCAAATTCCTCCCATTTTGGTGAGGAAAATGGGGGAAAACCATTTTCTTTTCTTTTCCTACCAAATTACTTGAACCAAACATAGTGTAAGGCTCCGTTCGAAACCTGGAAAGTGACTTGTGGAAAATGACTTTTGGAAAATGAGTTATTTTTCAGAATTCATTTTCCTTTTCTATTGTTTGGCTAGAATTCTCAAAATTTTCTGTTTTTGTTTGGTTCATTTTCTCGAAAATAAATATTGGAAACTGAATGTTCCAAAATGACTTAATAACACTCTAAGCATATTTAAAAATTTTAACACATTTGATGGGTGTATTTCACCCAAGACCGGTCAAAGGAGGAGGACAAGTCTTTGACCGGTCAATCTCGAAAGTTTTGGAAGGGAGACTTAAATCGTCAGCAAAACGATATGTCATCGGCCAAAATTTGACCGGTACACTTCACAAAAAAAGTATACCGGTCAAACTACGTTATCATCCTATTTATTCCAGACTTCGATGAATTCACCTCTCGGAGATTACCCGGTGTAGTTTCTGAGGTTGGAAAGTGTCGGCAAAGGAGAATCTACGAGGGCTAGGCGTGTAGCGACCCGTGTCAGTAGAGGACGACTGGAGATGCTAAAGAATCCATCCAAGGCACTACCTGACAAAGGGAATAATCCCCCTCACAAGGCGACAAGGTAGCTAAGAGACGAGGCCCATCACCTCTCAACATCCGAGACACGTGCCTCCACGTGGGCGCACGTGGTCCTGTCCCCTTAGCCTAGTATAAATACTCATGTAAACCTCAGAAAGAGGGATCCGAATTCATTTTCTCTAAACTCCCTTGTAAAAGCACCC